TTCCAAGCATCAGGAAGACTGAACCCTGTTTGAGTCTTGACAAGGTCACGTATATTGGTGTCCAAATAGTGTTTGTGGCCTAAAGCCACAGTGCTTAATTCCCAGAAAATAGAGGACATTTGATAAAGTCAGCAGCCAACACGCTGAGTGCCTGATGTATACACAGACCGACTACGTGCTATAGGTAATGCAAGGATCTGAACTAATCTCATGAAGTGCATCTTTGCAGACATGGGAACGGGTGGCTTAGTCTGGGTCCAGTAGCCATGCTCCAGCTCACAGCATTAGGAAAAGACACATCTTAATGAACTTAATTGCAGACAGGATAGGCCTTCTTGAGCCCATTCAGGAAACAGAAATGCTCATGTGTAGTGCACGTGAGCCCATCCTAGGAGACCGGGAGATGAGTATGTGGAGTTGGAGGAACCGTTCTTTTCTGTATTTGCCCACGGTGGGTGGAAGGAGTCTTGGTGAAGTTCCCTCAGGCAGGGCTTTGAGAATAATCTCACCCTGAAGCTCAGTAAGTGGAGGTGAGAGCCAGTGGTGGAGACATTGTTCTCTCTTCCGGGGCTCCAAAGCTAAGATGAAAGGAGCCTAATTTTCAGGTGGAGAATTGTCTACTGTTTCTGCACCTGCCAGGTGATAGTATCATCCTAAAGCAGCATGAGATATATGGAGAGATATATGCCGGGTCTGTTAATGTCTACTGGGAGCACTTGTTCCTTTCCCACATGTGTAAAGGATTCCCCAGGAGGGGAGCCTCAAGCCTCCAGCAGGTGGTAAAAAGGTGGGTCTCAGTACCCACCCCACACATCCCAGCTTGCCTCTGTCTAGAAGACAACACTTTTCTTCCTCCCACAGTTTGGGAAAAAAAGAGGGTAAAGGTTTAGCTTTTGCCTTGGCTCGTTCAGTGACACTCAGGCTGTGAGTTTATTAAGGGGTTCACATTTTTGGGGCTAATACTTCATTTACTTCTAGTATCATAGATGCAGCCTGGCTCTCTTCCCCCAACAACAACAATAGGAATGGTTGAATTGGTAAAATGTGCAAAATTAAATGGTACGATGACTAGCAGGACCCTTGCACATTTATCTCATAGCCGCTCCATCTTCTCTTCAAGTAGCCAGCACATCCGCCACTTTTTACAGCTCTTTGGTGATTTCTGTGCTATTGCAGAATGGACACTGGAAATCAGTTCAGCAGACAGTCCAAGGCCTGCATAGCCAGAGTCTGGCTGCTAGAGACTGTTGGTTGAATTCTAATTAAGAACTTCATCTTCATACTAAGTGATCAGAATGATGTCACAGTGCTATGTCGGCATCAAAACTGTCTCAGTTCTGAAAGCTGAGGGACATAGAAAACTCATGTGTGAGTGTGTTTGTCTGTGTGTGTGTATGTGTGGTCATGTGTCGGTCTGTCTATGTGTGTGTCAGTGTGTGTGTGTCTGTCTGTGCATTTGTCTGTGTGTGCATATATGTGTTCGCGTGTGTGTGTGTGTGTGTGTGTGTGTGTGTGTGTGTGTGTGTGCCTATCCGACCTGTTAGGCTTTGTGCCTGCTGGGTGAGCCCCACGGAGCTATGTCCCCAACCAAGATCTTTATGTATTTCATTCCCGGTATGAACTCAGTTGTGTCCTTCCTATGAAATTATGTGGCTGACAGCTGACACTTGTATTGGATTGTTTAATACAGACTCCTGTTGCTGAATATCTTAGACTGATTCTGTGTGTTTACTTTTGCTCCCTGGGAAGCAACTTTGCTCCCTCCCGTAGGCTCGTCAGGTTCCTCTTTCATCAGACGCTCACTCAGACAGCAACCTTGTCTGAGCCATCTTGCAAGTGGGTGTTTTGTAAATGTTTCCCAATCATTATGAGAAAGATTCAGGAAGGTCACATGCTGAGGAGGAGGAAGAATGCTGGGAATGAGAGCAGGAGGTTTGTCCCCTGACCTTTCTTCCCAGTGATTTGCTGACTCTCAGTGTCAAGACCTGGGTCTCTTGGCCTCTCCCCGCTCAGATGGTTGGTGTCGCGGGGTTTTCAGGAAAATGTGGTCACCACTGTTTTCTTGCTCCAGCACCTGCTGGTCAGAGTTTGTCGTGGCTGATGTCTTTTGGTCCCAGTCTGGATTTCTCTGTAAGAAAGAGGAGAGTAGTGTGGATTAATAACTGAAGAACTGTGAGCGCTTCCCTTGTTGGGAACCTAACCTTTCATAACACATTTGCCTTGAGAAAGTCTGAAATGTTAAGTTCCAGGTTCAGAGCCCTGACTCAAAGTCCATCAAAGTAGGGTTTTCTCTCTCACTGCCAAGGTAGTCATTGCCTCAGTTTCCTGTCTGCATAGTGATTCCTGGAAGGTGGGATCTCGCTGCCCCCTCCCCAGATTAAAGAGCTATGATTTGGGCCCTCTCTTCCAACTGCCTGTGTTTCCCAAAGCCTCTTTTGATCTGTTCCCAGCCCGCACTTGGCGTTTGCTGATTCTCACCTCTGATTTGTGCCCTAGGTGTTCTTCGTGTCCGATCTCTTCAAGACTAAGCCGGCCCCTGCTCTCAGGAAGGAGATCCTGTCACCTGTGGACATTATCGACAGGAACAACCACCACAACATGGTGTAGGTGCTGCGGCTGCAGAGCGCTTGGTTTCTCTGAAGTGACTGCTGACAGCATGTTCCTGCTGCTCTCCCATCTCATCTGACAGTAGAATGTAGGGAAAAGCTTTTTGCCCGATGGATTTTGAAAACATTTAAAGAAAAGAAAAAAAAAAGCCTTATCTTGTGGCCTTCCCAAATAGGTTGTTTGCCTGTGTGGAGACAACAGGGCCGGCGTCCTGAATCCTGGCTGTGCAGCTGGCTAAGTGTTCATGTTCTAGTGAGCACAGGCCTGTCAGGAGCAAAACACTAGAATGATTGAGCAGAGGCTGTGGTCCCCTTTGGTGACCCGAGAAATCCCAGGCCAGTGAGAACAGCTCGAGCTCCTGTGTTGCACACAAGGCACCAAATCAGCCCCTCTGCCTGACCCACTTCTACTGTGACTTTGGTTCAAGGAAGTTTTGTGTTTTGAAATACCAGGAATGAATGCATTGGCTCAGAGTGGTCAGAACCCTCATCCAAATTCCTGGCGCTGAGGCCTCTGTCATCTCCCCCATCCCCAGGCTAACAACCACAGGCCCTCACTTTTAGAGATTAGGAGACCCTTTGTGGAAGAGTGAACTTCACAAATAGCACAATTTCAGAAGACCCAGAGGGTGTCTTCTGATGCACCGTACTGTGATGCGGATCTGCCACTGCAGGATCAATCACCGGGCACTTGCACATGTAGAAACGGTTAGACTTCGGTTACTGCCATCCCCTTGAGGTCCTTGCTGGGTGTGTACCGGGATCTCAGGTGGGGGCCAAGGATGAGCACAGGCGTGGTCGGCCTCTGGCTGACCAAAGGAGCCTCGGTAAAGAGACAGGAAGGGAGGGAAAGGGCAGAATGAAAAATGAAAAAAAAAGAACCAACTTTTTGGCTCCTTGGGATCAGAGTGAGCCAGAGTAGCAGACAGTCTCATGCCCAAAAGGTTACCCTTCACCATAAGGGAGCCCAGAGGGTTTTTGCAGGAGCTGGTCTTGCTGTGTAAAGCACTATTGTCTCCGGGTTGATCCCTGGGACAGTCCTTTGGTGAGTTCTGCTGGGCAGAACACATGGGTTAAATCTGCATAGAGAGTTTTTTCCTTATCCTCTATCCACAAGTGTCCTTCCAAGCAAGGTCCCATTCTAGACAGTAGACAGAGACCCTTCTACTGAACCTCCAAGGAAAGGAAGAAGGAAAAAAAAAACCAAGTGCTTTTCAAATCTTTCAAAGGGCTACACGTAACCATATGGATCAACCACATGCACATCCTTCCACAGACTCCGTCCTTTCATTTCAACATATAGCAAGCTATGATTTTATATATAAATATTATATAAATAATGTATAAAACATTAAAAGTTAACTATGTAAGATATTATTTCTGAAACAACTTTAGCTATATCCACTATGATTATGAACTGTGTCTCGACCTGTGTTATTTACTTTAGCTGCTTAAAGGAGCATTGAGTTATTTTTTTTTTAAATCTCAACTAAAACTATCATAGTTCTGTGGTAGCCATTGTTCTACAATGAGAGAAATAACTTCAACCAGAGAAAACCTGTATAAAAACATTAAATCGTCAGTATTTTTGTAAGGTTCCGTTTTGTAAAGAGAATAATATTCAAAGATTTTTTTTGTGGCATACAAAGTGAAAACGTGTATCTGCGAAACTAAACGTGTATTAAATGTGCTTTTTAAATAAAAGCTCATAACATGACTAACCAAGGCTCTGCTGCCTGGACTGTTTGAGGGCTGTCTCTTTGGGGTCTGTGGGAGGGAGGAGGAGGTATTGCAGGCTGGCCTGTGGGTGGGCTTGCCTCTGATTGTCTCAGTGGGAAACCGTCATGGCCACTGCAGAGGCAGGATGCGGAAGCTGTTCTTTCATCTCCGAAGCCTGTTTGCAGAGGGAGGCTGGGGGCTGGCTCTCATCTCCAGCCTCTTAAAAGGGCTTTTGTGCTCTTAAGGGTTTTCATGTGGGAGGTGGGAGCTGTGGGTCCCCCGAAGATAGATATGGAGACTTCCCTAGATAACGTGGGCTTGGGGAGCTTAAGGAAAAGTCTTTCCCACAGCTCGTCTCAAAGGAAGAAGGTGCTCTATTGACGAGGGCACTGGGTTCCCATTCTCCTGCCTTGTGCACTGCCCCCAACCCAGAAGGAAAAAGGTGTGTTATGCACCTGTGTACCAGCCAGTTCTACCTGGTTGTCCCTTTACACCTCAAAACAGTATTTAGCTTGAGAAAGGAGGACCAAAGGCTGTGGAATGCAGATGATGTAAGTTGCCTAAGAGCCTGCCAGCACGTTGTAGGACAGGCCTTAGTTTGTTTTTGCTCCTGTAAAAAATAATTACAAATTACAACAGCTTGGTGAGTTGAAATAACACAAATTTGTTACCTTCCTGGGCAGGAGGTGTTAGAGAAACTCCTGCCTTTTTGTCGCTTCCCAAGGCCACCTGCGTTACTTGACTGTGGGCCTCGTCCTCCTTCTCACTTTGCCTTCTTGTTTTCTTTTGTTCCTCTTCCATATGTAGCATCCTGGTGAGTGCCTGGACCCTTGGATAATCCAAAATTTTATCCCTGTGTTAAAGTCTACTAATTCAAAAACTTAATGCCATCTGCTACTAAATTCCCCATGCTGTGCAACTTTCAGATTCCAGGGACCTGAACAATCTGCAACCTGATAAATTCAAGCTGTGTGCTTCCAAAACTCCACGATGGGACCATGCACAGTATAACAGTACAGACATTTATATTAAAGGGAGAGAGAAGGCTAAGGATGGCTCAGGAGTACAGTACTTATCTAGCAAAATGAATGAAGCCTTGGGTTCAATCCCTGGTCATACACACACCCCATGCTGCCCCTAACTTCCTTTGCCTCTGAAATCAGCTTGCCATTTGCTGCTCTCAGACCCCACCACCTCCACTGCAGCCAGCAATATTTTGACATTTTTGCGGCCTTATATCCAGGCTCAGCGGTTGAAAAAGTACGGCCTGCTCTTCCAAAGGTCTTGAGCTCAATTCCCAGCAACCACATGGTAGCTCACAACCATCTGTAATGAGATCTGGCGCCCTCTGGAGAGAGAGACCTGGTCAGTTGTCCTCATCAACTTAGACCATGAAACCCAATATTTTGGACACTATCCAGGATGTAGTCCAAATTTTCACTTCCAAGTCCGAAGAACAAAGGTTCAGAGAGACAAGAGGACTTGCTGGTGTCAGGAGGGGAGAGCTGGTGCTTCTAGAATCTAAGACACCTCATTCATCTCTTCCCCAAAAGTGCTGAACTGTCCTCAAGAAGTAACCTCACTTCAAGGTCTTTGACCCTGATTCTAAAAATATGGTCCACAGAGCAACAAGTAATACCTGCATCCCTGAGGAGCGTGGTAAAAACATTGAAGTAGAAGACCCTCCTCAACCTTAACCTACAGAATAATAGGACCCTTCCTATTGGTAAAATCCCCAGAGGTCTCTTTTGTATAATAAGCTTTGTCCCATTATCCTTCAGATTCTGCTGAAATGTGCACTGTCTCCACCGTGTCTTCACGGGGCTCACTTCAGTATATACTGGGTCAGATATCAGTAACCTCAAAGCTTTATGAACCAGAATTACACGAAGAACTCTCTGTAACAAGTCTGAGACACTCTCTGGGTCAAAAGCATGCCTCACCCTGCCTGCATCCTACCTTCCTGTACAGGACAACACAGTCCCCATTGGACCAATTATCCATCCAGCAGCCAAGTAACAAAGCCATGTGACCATCAGTAACACCAACTAAACAGGCTTCAGATTCAAAAAAAGCTTAAAATGCTGTCCTTCACTTTAGGGATGACTGAAGATACCATGTTGGTCTGAAGTGGGGGCAAACAGACTCAGTCAAGAATCTTTTCCTAATTGACACCTCTAACGTGGGATGGCACTGGGATTCAGACTTAAACAATTTCAGTTATTCATTGACAAAGTATTTACTAATTACTTCCTAAGTCCTAGATAAATAGGTCAGTACAACCCAGCAGCAATAAAGGCCCCTTAGGAAAAATAAAATTAGTTCCTTACAGTCAAGAGGATGAACTTCTGGCCTGAGTGGAGAACTAACACTCCAAGCTACTCAAACCAGAAAGGAGTTAATCCAGTCTGGTCAATCACCTGGCTAAGTATCACCCCTAGGAAGGCCGGCTTACCCTAAGCCTTACTAAAGAGATGGGCGGAATGGTTATTCCCAGAATGAGATACTGTAGTTTTCCCAAACTCAAGCCCCCAAGTCCCCTACCTAGCACCATCCCAACAAGCTGTTCCGAGGCTCAGCTTGTTCTGCCTGCCTTTCTGAGTCCTAACTCAGATATGTATTCCTCCTCCTCCTCCTTCTCCATTTTTTTTTGTCTTTCATGTCTCTTTCTTTTAGATACTAGTGGAACTAAAGTATGATTTTTCTCATATCTCAGGCTTCCTTCCTCTTCCTCTAAAGCCCCCCTCTATTACTATGTGGCAGCTTGTACTCATGTGGCTGGCTTCTATGCCGGCTTACCTTAAACTGTATACCTTTTGCCTTTTCTTCTCCGTTCTTTTTCTCCAGACAGGTGCTAAGATTCCCCTATCTTGAGGAGAAGAAGGCTAGGTGGCTTCTCTGCCTCCTTTGTCTCTAGTTGACTACTTACATGTCTGTCATCTCATCTATTGACGGTACCCGTCCTAGAGAGTGATGCCAATTCCTTTTCTTCAGATAGAGTCACAGCTGTTATTTGATGAATACTGATTACATGGAGAACGAGGACACCCCTAGTCTAGTTGGTATGTTAATGCGTGTATGTACACACACATGCGCGCGCGCACACACACACACATGCTTATGTATTTTCACATATATGATTGAATGTGTGGTTGGAGATGTGCATGTCCTCTACTTCCCCTGTAAAGATGCTGCAGTGTTTGCAGTGGGATGAGACAGGAGAAAGAAAGGACAAACAGCTAGTGCTTTGGTGACCAAATTGTGGAAAACGTGGTCCAGGCAGCTCTCGGTCAAGCACTTGCTAGGGAAGGTGCTGGTTATAGGGGGTAGAATCCATTGTATTTAAACAGTAAATGGCAAGCTTCTTATGGGTTCAGAGTGTTGTGAGGAGGTGGATGTGTTTCACATTACGAGGGCAGCCTCAGTGGACACTGGTTCCCATAGATACGGCGTCCCTGCCAAGGGTCATGTTCCCTTTTCTTTGCCCTTCTTTGAGGATGGTTCTTACCATTCACAGTCCACCAGGCATCAGTCCTGCGCCTGAGGTGCCATTCCGCTTGTTCTCCAGCACACATAGGCAAGCAGAGGCTTTCTGCTGGCACTCTCAGGGCTTGCTTCCGGGGACGCTGTCTGGGGCCTTTATTTATTGGCAGAGGCGTGTCAGGACCATGATATGTCACCTGCTCAGTTGGGAAACCCCAGCCTGAACCGAGACATCAGAGGAAATGAGTGCCAGTCCCCAGGGAGATTGGCTCACCAAGTCAGCGCCAGCCGCGGGAGAGGAAATGAGGGGAAACTGAGGTCAGAATTGTGAAAGCACCACCAGTGTTTGCTTCGTCATTCACCATGCAGTCAGCAGGCAAATTTCTCTCCAACGCTGAGAATTCAGCATAGTTCCAGCAGCCAGGGAACTGCAGTTAAAACAGCAGACAAAGACAAAGTCAAAGGCCAGGATGTTTCAGAGACCCCAAAGAGGAGGAATCCAAAGGAAAGGAAGATTATATAGGAAGCAGATAATACTAATAAAGAATGTGGACTTAGAGTTAAAACAAAACAAAACAAAAATTCCTTTTCCTTAAATCTCCGCTTGGCTATGCATCATGGAAGCTACTCATTAATTGCGTTTATTTCTTCAACTGGGTATCAGATATGGCAGGGCTGATGTAGAAATTCTGATTAAAGTGACATGATTTTTTTAAGCCAAGTCAGACTCCCAACAGACACTTGAATGGAAGACATATTGTATGTTTTACATAAAGGATGCTTGCTGTTAAATTTCCAAGCAAATAAAGTCAGCCAGATTGTGGAAAAGAAAGCACAGATTTCTAGGCAAACAATTGGGCCCAAAAGCTCTGGCTCAGCCTATGAGTTTTTCATTTGATGTGGTTGAGGAAGAGGCTCATATGCAGGAACAGGAGCCAAAGTCAGAGAGGTAAACTGAGGATAAGTCTGCAGAGTACCCCACCTCAGGAGTCTGAACTATTGTCCACAATTCATCTTTAGGGATTATTTTTTTTAGAGGAGAATAACGTGATTTGATTTGTATCTTGGCAAGTACATCAAGAATCCTGTATAGCATGAAGTAATAATTTTAAGTGTAGAAAATTTTAAAAGGGATAATCAAAGACAAAAGTATGTATATATAAGGATATACATTGAAATCTACTCATAATAACAAAACCGCATGCTAAGTAATTGAAAGGGATCAGATAAACTATGATTATGCTCAGCTGATATATTTTAAAGTAGATGTATTCAATATTTAAAGATATAGGACAGGGCTGGGAGGAGGGCTCAGTCCTTAAAAGTGCTTGCCGTGCAACTCTGACTACCCAAGTTCAATCCTAGAGCCCAGAAGATGCAGTGGTCCTTTCCTGGACCCCAGCACTCTTATAGTGAGATGAGGGACAGAAGCAGAATTGCCCAAAAGTTCATGAACCGGCTAACCTGGAGCCCATAGCACTGCAGTAGAAATGAAAAAGACTCTGCTGCCTCAACCAAG